TTAGCTGTATATACATGTGCTCAATCACATGCTTGTGCACACTGTATTTTCTGAGGATTTTATTTTATATTCTTCTTAAATGAATGAAATAAATAAAAAAATCACTTTTCCTCATTCAAAAGATATAGGATTTTGATTTGAATTGCATTTTTGCTATGACAACAGAGGACTGCTTCCATGCCCAATCCTTCAGCACATGAATGAATCCTTTGCCTGCAATCCATGAATAGTTGGTAATATTATTTTAAAGATATTTTACATTTCGATGTCATTTAAGAATCCTAGACTTGGACCAAACACAAGGATGTTTGATTTCCATTCAAATATCTGCAAAGGATGCCAGACTTTTCCAATGTTATGCAGATGTTTAAAGTGAGGGTCAGATCAGGGCCCATTTTGTGATTAAAATCACAGACTGGAGATGGACGTGTCCTGCCTTTGCCAAAGATGCAGCTGCAGCTCTGGCTCCATCACAGGAAACCGAGTCATCCAACCAATCAGAGCCCAAAACACTGAAATTATGTATTTCCGGTTACACATTAAGAAAACTAAAAACATCGACTATAGTTGGCAATAAATCAGCATTTGAGACAATCTTGGCAGCCACATCAATCTGTTGTAATGGCTTTATAGATACACCGGTTACACCCATTTGACCTGTTTTACAATCAATCATACATGAGTAGAAATGAATTCACTATCTAGTCAATCATTCATCAGTGATTTTGAAGGAATAGATCTGATTTATTTTTATTCTTAAATAGTACTGGCAAAAGTCTGTCTTTTTTATGTTTATTAAAAAGGTACAGTATGTAACATGTGGCACTTCACATGCACAATTTCATGGAAATAAAGGTTAAACGCATTTCAGAACATTTTCCATGATGATATGAGATATATTTTATGCCATCTTATGGAATATTTTTTGCCAAAGGAACACCATTTCCATGGAGACAAGCAGGCTCTCCTCCAGGCCAAAAGATCAGGTTTGTGGAGATGCAAGCCTGCTCAAAGTAAAGACATATTTTTCAGTGCAGTAAACACATTCAGAAATCATGATCAATCATTACCACCCAGTCCTGATTGTCTGTCAATTTGACTGACAGCAACAAATAGACTGCCTGGTTCTTAATAGAGACCTGATAAAACGTGCTTAGTGCGAGCGATGCAGCAAATTTAAAAGTTAAATAAGCCTTCCGTGTCTTTATGGGACGATTTTAGGTCATGCTCGTCATGTGACATCAGACCACAGTAAAACAAGAGGAACTGGATTTTCTTATGGTCTTAACTATTATACTTTCTCTCATCTCCTCCCATCTTCTACAACTACTACAACTATTAAACGCATTTTCAGCCTTAATTAACCAACCCAGCATGTTTACAGTCTGCTTTGATGGATTTTTTTTTGCAAATCTACGTAAAACAGAGAAGGCTGAACTGCAGTCCCAGATGGCTGATTCCTTAAAAACATGTGGAGCCCTTAACGCCCCGCCCTGCCAATTCATCCACACTGTTACATGGGAAATATGAGGCACACAAATAGACCGGGCACCCTTCCCACATGTGGTCAGGTTCAAACGCACACACCCAACATAGTCTGGCAAAAAAGGAACAATTTAACATTTAAATGTGAGAGGAAAATCTCTCACAATCTGTGTATTGTAGTAGTGGCTGTGCTGATCACTTTAGAGCTTCCACAACCATCTGGCCTGTATGTACAAGTTATAACTAGTTTAATGCCCCAATTCATGATTACTATGGTTTCAATGGTTTCAAATTGTCAATGAGCAGCTAGGGTCTTTTTAACCAAGAGAACTACAGCCAATCCTCTGTAAGTAAAAATATGTTGTTTGGAGTGTAACTGAGGCTTGAAGGAATATAATTGACTATTTTTTAATTAAAACTCAAGTAATTACTAAATGTAATCAAATGCCATATTTATTTCTAATCTAAATCAAAATTGAAAATTGTGATTGAGCAATAGTTTCATACAGCCTATTGTGTCATATTGCCCAGCCCTAATGGAATACATGATCGAACTTCCTTCCATTCCCACTGTGCCCCGTCTGATGCCCCTTCAGATATAAAACAAAACATTCAATTCCAGCTTTCAATTAAACTGACAACTATATTTTAAAGTTTCAAAGTACATGTTATAATTTAAACTTATACTCAAGCATGAATCAGTTAAGTTGGTTTGATTACTGACAGAGTATGATTCAATACCTCCACCTGCCTGGATCTTTATTCCTCTCTGGACCTTTGTGACAAATAGGGAAGAGGTGATGACAACAAACAAGTGCAGTTTACACAAGAGCACAGCTGCAAATATTACACTAAGGTTGGATTTAGGAGCACTATTGTAAAACCTTCCAAACCTGTGATAAAAGTTTAACCATCCTTCACATATTCAATTAACAACACTGTTAATCTTCACATCTACTCAGATCTGTCTTTTACTTGATAATTACACAACATTAATAGGTGTTTACAAAGGCGGGACAAATAAAGGAATGCCATAAGACAAGTTTCTGGGAAAACCCACAGGTAAACACAGGCACACCTACTGCACTTCAGATTACTCAACAAGAACTTTGCAACACCTTTAAAATAGTCACTAATCATATATCTTGATGAGTTAAAGGCCATCATTTAAACAGGTTGCTGGCTGAGGTGTCCTTGAGTGAGGTGGTGTTATCTTCATACAGTTGATGTTTGACCAATATGCTACAGGTGTTTATCTTTATCTTATTATTATATAGTTATATTAAGTAATATCTTGGTTAAGACATACAAAATTTTACTATAATGGTGCACAATACTACATTTGTAAAGAAAGACTTGATCAATGTGATAATTAATAACTTACTATATTTTAACAATATACTGTAATTTTCAATATAAAGTAATAGTACTTAAATATTAGCATGTGGCCTTATACTAGTTCTACTAAGACAAATCTTTAACTGTTCAGGAAAGGTCCATTATTGCTCAATTTATGTGATTTTTTTCAGTATTTCAGTATAATGTATTTATCTGAGATGTAAAATAATCTGTTGCATAATTACAACAACATATTTTCCACCTAACTGCTTTTCTATTCCCATTTTTACTTATTAGTCTGTTCAAAAAACTAATCTGATACACTAGGGACAAACTGGGAATGATGCATGGCCACACGGACAGATACACAGACACCGATATAGTTACCGATATGTTGCCTATCCCTACAAAATTAAGTGGCTTAAATGAGCAGAAAGTGGACCAACCGGTTCCCTCACTCTCACAGGTGGGAGTGTGTTGGCAAGGACGAAACACAGTAGCACACTCCCTTCTCCTTCCTGACTGTCTGGTTTGACTTCACAGATATCATCAGCCACAGCCAATCTGTATTTAAGCAAAAGATGCCCAAATGCACCAAACGCAAAGCAGTGCAATGTTGGACACCCACAAACAATTTCATATTCTTTTACCAAGTTACTACTACAGAAATGTTGCAATGTGCTATGGTGTAATACTATGCCACCAGGCTCACATCACACTTGCCCCTAGTCATAATATTGTGGTTTTGGATAAGGTAATCAGACAAAAGGGCAGCCCTCAGATCGTCCATACTGTCTGGGTTAAAATGATTCACTTGCACAAAAATGTTAGGAAATTGTTATCCCAGATGAATGTACAATGCAGGAAGTCTGGAAAATCACTCATAGTAACTAGTTTACAAAGTCTGTTTTATAGCACAATATCAAGTTTAATTCTAATTTAACAAAAAACGTGGCAATACACGAACAGAATGTAGAGATTTCAGCAAGCTGATGACATGCATGCCTTTAAAAAGTAGAGTAAAAAGGGAGGGGCAAGTTATTAACATTGAGTAGTGCATTGCAGCATCTTCCAAATGGTTTCAAGCAAGCGTGACAGAATTTTCCCTATTCAAGCAAAATGTAGAATAAAGTAACTCCAAACAGTTACGCAGTCTATGTTGGAGACAGTGCAGAAGTGGGTGTCTGATCAGGGTCACATTCATGGTTAAGTTGTAAAACTGCTAAATTCCACCAAAACATTAGAGCTATTTCCCAGTTCAAACTAAACTCATCTGTTTCACCATGTTTTCACACACGGACGCCTTAAGTCTTCAACTTAGGACATCTGCGCTAGTTTAAGGATGAACAACTGAGAAGAAGAGGCTAAAGCTAAATGCTAAAGACTGACTGAAGTTTTATGGGCAGAATTTATCCCAGATGCTCAAGGATCGCAGGGCGCACGCAGATGTGCAGTCCGGTTATGTACGTAGGTCATATAAATGCATATAAGATCTATTTATATGTTAGTAGTACAGGGTTTGAAGTTATCAGGAGATTGGTAAAGAGTACTCACAGTGGGTTTTCCAGACAGTGTCCCGAGTGGAGTCCTGCCTCCTTCCCCAAGCGCACAGACAAAAGTAACAGCGACAGTGGGAGCCACGCCCCGAACTGACGCAGCTCAAAAGGTTCATATCGCCATGAAAAACAAAACAACATTCCTACTACTAAAGAACTGATACTTTCACTATTTAATTTCATGTAATTTACTAGGTGGTATTTACACACCTATGGCTTTCCCTCTCTTCCTTTTTCTTTTTTCTCCATTGGTTTTTATGTTTGTAATTAATTTACCCAAAGAAAGATCAATTTATTCAAACATTTTTAGGTTAATGCTTAATGGAGGTGGATGCTTAATTTAAATACAATACAATCATTTTTATGTTTTTCTAACTTTTATTTTTTTTAATATAATGTTATTATTTGTTCTCGTGCGTGTTTTGTATCTAAGGGGATCAATGTAGGAAAAATAAGTAGTTTCTCTTACTGTTATTGTTTCTCCCCTGTATAAATAAATGTTAATAATAAACATTTAAATTTATTTGCAAAATACGATAATAATTCAATATTTCAACTAGTACGCTGCTCCTGTCCGAAAGGTGGTGCTGTTTGTCAAATATCAGCAGCCGGACCCTCTTGCGCCTCTGTGGTTCCGTTTTGCTCCCGCTTGGTGTTGTCAGGAATGCACTGTTTTTGTTTTTGTTCAGATTACAAATTTATAAAGTTGTCCGTGAACAAAATACAATATACATGTGTTGTTAATGGCTGCAGGCTCCTCGATGAACAGTTGACATGTCCGCTGCAATCATGAGGTAATATAAAGGGACTCTGTTGTGAGTTGTGAGCTAGCCCCCTTAGCTACAATGCTAAACGCTAACCTTGGGTTTTATAGCAAGAAATGGAAATCTATCTTGAATCGTCGTAGCATCAAGTTGTACAGCTAGCGTCGGCATGCTGCACATTAGCTTCTTATAATGCAGTGACCGTTTCATTTTTATATTTAACTAACATACTGATTATGTTTGTAATCCAGTCTGGGAAGGATGGACAATATGGCAAAATATATAGATCACTATATCAGTTACTATTAATACACACTCCAATCTGCTTTTGAAATGGTTAAGTTCAGCTGTCTGTCACTCACTCACCATTATGACGATATGACCAAAATAGCAGATGTACGATGTGATTTTTATTACCATATCGCCCACCCATATCTATGAGTAGTCATTTGATCACATGACTTAATGTTATTCCCTTGCCTACTTTTTGTCTAGTGCCACAACCAGCAAGCTCAACCTGCTGGTTAACAAGCTGCATGAGTTTCTTGCACAGGACAGCAATGGTACAACAAACGAAGATCATGATGGTAATGATTAGCTATCATTACCAGTTATCTACGTATGCAGTTCTACAAAATTCAACTGACATGGTTGTTGTCTTTCTTTAGCATTGATAAACAGC